TATGTTTTTTCCCACCTTTAAATCAACTCTCTGGTCACTCTTACTTACTCTTACTATAGCAGTCTGCTTTAATGTCACTGGATGAATCACATCGGCTCTCTCAGAAGAAGACTGAATCACTCACTTGTGCATGTATATGTGTGTGTGTGTGTGTGTGGTCACATGTTCTCATCACATCAGCCACAGAGCTGCAAACTACAGCAGACCTTTATTTGTATCCATTCATCATGTCGCAGTGATTCATGAATCACAAGTGAAGAGAGTGGAAAATTGAATTGTTTCGAGGCGTTTGTGATCGTGCGATCAATCCGTGCAGCGCCGCTGTACTCTAACGACTCATTTTCATTGTTTTCTTCTCTGTGCGGGACATTTCCTATCCATCTCTGAACCTAACAAAGGAAGCTAACAAGCAAAACGTTCTTTCTGTAAAGTCACTGTTTGAATCTTTTTCACATCCTTGCTGAGAACTGGATGACTGAACTGATGGCGCTTGTTAAAAATGATGTTTTGACGCGTTTCCTTTACAAAACCGTAGAACTGTTACAAATTATAAGTAATATGACAGTTTGTTCTTAACAAAGCCAGGCTGTTTCCTGTTATATTTCAATTTTATTGTAAACAAACTAGATCCCTAAATGGAAAAACACATATTTACAGTCTCATCTACATCATTTAAACAACGTCTTTAAACCTGTTTTTTTATATAATAAACTTCTAATCCACTTTTTTAACAAGTGGTTTTTGAAAATTGTAGCCTATTTTTGTGTGCATGACTTGCAAATCGTATTACGTATACATTATTTTGGTGCCTACGTTTTACCCATTTTGACAGCTGCCTCCATGTTTATGATTTAATCTACTGAAGTACACTTCTGAAATGAAGTCAGACAGATTTAAATCACTTTTTTGTTTACAGTTATCAGTCAACATCAGCATGGTTTTCTGACATGGACATTTACCTCAGATGTTTTGTGTTACAGGAGAGCTCTTGCATGACTTTAAAGTTCTTTGAGACTGGATGAAGATGTTCCGTCAACTTTATAAATACTTCAAGAGAAAAGATGTTGCACAATTTTTTGAAACATTCAAACCTCTAAAAACAGGACTGCATGATGCTGCAACTTATACGAGGAAGTTAAGAACATTCTAGAGATGTTCGTAATTGTTTTTCCACTAACTTGTTGCAGCCCTGTGAGATATCAACCTAAAATATGTATTTATAAGGGATGGAAGAAAAGGCAAGAATACAGGTGCTTGCCATAAAATTAGAATATCATGAATATGTTGATTTATTTCAGTAATTGCATTCAAAAAGTGAAACTTGTATGTTATATTCATTCATTACACATAGAATGATATATTTAAAATGTTTAGTTCTTTTAATGTTGATGATTATAACTGACAACTAATGAAAACCCCAGTATCTCAGTATCTCAGAAAATGTCAATATTGTGAAAAGGTTCAATATGAAGACAACTGGTGCCACACTCTAATCAGCTAATTAACTCAAAACACTTGCAAAGGCCTTTAAATGGTCTCTCAGTCTAGTTCTGTAGACTACACAATCATGGGGAAGACTGCTGACTTGACAGTTGTCCAAAATGTGACCATTGACACCTTGCACAAGGAGGGCAAGACACAAAAGGTCATTGCTAAAGAGGCTGGCTGTTCACAGAGCTCTGTGTCCAAGCACATTAATAGGGAGGCAAAGGGAAGGAAACGATGTGGTAGAAAAAAGTGTATAAGCAATAGGGATAATCACACCCTGGAGAGGATTGTGAAACAAAACCCATTCCAAAATGTGAGGGAGATTCACAAAGATTGGACTGCAGCTGGAGTCAATGCCTCAAGAACCACCACGCTCAGACGTATGCAAGACATGGGATTCAGCTGTCGCATTCCTTGTGTCAAGCCACTCTTGAACAAGAGGCAGCGTCAGAAGCGTCTCGCCTGGAACTGCTGCTGAGTGATGTACATGAGTGCTATACATGCTCATACTTTTCATGTCATACTTTTCAGTCAGCCAACATTTCTAAACATCCTTTTCTTATTGTTCTTAAGTAATATTCTAATTTTCTGAGATACTGAATTTGGTGTTTTCATTTGTTGTCAGTTATAATCATCAACATTAAGACATAAACATTTGAAATATATCAGTATGTGTGTAATGAATTAATATAAAATAGAAGTTTCCCTTTTTGAATGGAATTACTGAAATCAACTTTGTCATGATATTCTAATTTTATGGCCAGCACCTGTAGATGTTATTAATATTATTACTGAGTTTTCAGCAATGGGCTTCAGCTCTAGATCATGATGTACAACAATAGTTTTATCGTTGTTCTTGTTCTCCTGTGCCCTCTCTTGTCTTTTGGTTTGACTCACATTGACTTGGTTTAAAAAAGGCAACAGGGTTGAAAATGGAAAACTAAATAGTAATAATGATAACAATAATATGTATGTGTTATCATTGTATGTTCCCATACAATGGCAAAATTGGTTCTCTGCATTTAGCCCATCTATCCCCAGGTGGAGAAGTGGGCAGCTATTGAAAGCGCCTGGGGAGCAATTGGGGATAGGGTGTCCTGCTCAGAAGCACCATGAGATGTTCAATGACTGGGGATCGAACCTGGGACTTTCAGGTCCTGGGTCGGCAGCCCTGCCTCTACCCCATCTCGGCCACCCTATCTTAAATGTTTAAGATAAAAAAATATATATAATACTGGTTTGGGCAGAAATACATTCTTTCATGTCTGAAGGAGGATACAAATGGGTGCCAACAATGTTTTCTATCTCCATCTTCACCTTCTACTGCTTTTTTGGGGTCTGGTTGAGGAGACAGCAGGCCAAGGAGAGAAACCCAGATATCCCTTACTTCAACAACACTCCCCACCTCCTTTTGGGGGATCCCAAGACATTCCCAGAGCAGGGACCATATATGATCCCTCCAGTGAGTTCAGGGTCTGCCCTGGGGTCTTTCCAGATGGACTTGCCTGGGAAACCTCCAAAGGGAGGCATATAGGAGGAATTCTAATCATCTGATTAGAAGGCCTCCTGGACCACCCAAATCACCTCAACTGACTCCATTCATCATGAAGGAGCAGATGATCTATTCAAAGTCCCCCAAGATGACAACGCTCCTCGCCCTATCTCTAAGAGCCCGGCCAACCTATGAAAAAATTCCTCACCGCAACCGACATCAGCAATGCCCTCATTACGGAGGACGAGGCCCCAATCGATCCAGATATTTGACCAAAGACTTCTGAACCAACCCCAATGTCAAGAATGTCCATTAAAATCACCTGTTCCACCTGTTGCAATCACCTGTTGGGCAGTGTGTAAACAATCAAATCAAACGTTTTATACCTTTTCTCTTTCAACATGCCAGCTCCATCATAATTCTATGCCCTGTTAGTTAATATTTTCTGAAAGCCTCAATAATCTCAGTCAAACTACAACAGAAATAATCCTGAGAATCTACCTGTAAAGAGTGAATGCAGTCAAGCTTGGCTACAGTGTGTTTCCTTTACATGGTATCTAAGACTTCTACAGTTACTGCTAGCAGCAGGAGGGGGGAACAAACATGTGGAAGTGACCTTCTACAAGCAAAGGTACCACAGGTGAGCTTATACTTAATACTTTATATCACAGGTGTAGTACATGGCAGAGGTCTTACACTTGGGATAACAGATCTATATTGTCACACTGGAGCGTCGGCAAAGCTGCGATATATTGTTGGTGTCTGCAGCGTTAATCCTGACAGGTGTGGAGCCGAGGATAAATGAAGCTGAAACCCTGAGGTAATTACTACCTGCCTGTCAGGATGGATCCCAAATAGACTTTGTGTTGACGTGAGCACCAACGACAAAACGCTACTCCCCAAGCACTGTTTATCACTCTGCTACACTGATGAGCTCATACGCAATAGCGTAAGCATGAGCATGTGAAGGTGGGGGTTCTTTCTTTTTCTCCTCTCAGAGGAGTGTCCCAATTTTCTGCTCAGAATGCGTAAATGATTCTGGATGGGATTCCGTGCTGCAGATCGCTTCAGTCCCATTCTCAGATTAATTAGTGACGTCGTCTCTCCTTTTTATTCCACAGACGGCTTCCCTTCCCCTTTGTCTCAGGGAGTCAGCAAAGCTTTGCAGTCCAGAGATGTTCCTCTCGTGTTGCTCGTCCAGAGGAGTGTGAAAGCAACCTGCCGAATCAGCTCCACGCATTTGGGTGTGTCACTTTACGAACAAGAAATTGCAGAAATGCAATCCCTGGAGGCACTGAGAGGAGGGAGTTCATGTAGGTGAAGCAGGGGTGGAACATCTCACCGAGTAAAATCAAAGCTGATCACTGAGCAGACGTTAAAATAATGACCTTTCATCCAAATGAGTCACTTTGAGCAGCCAGTCTCAGACAGTTACACAAATATGTTAGGAGATAATATAGCAAGAAACAGATTGGTGGTTAAATAATACAGGGAGAATAAACTGCAGAAGAGGATGGGAGTGACTCATGGCACCCCCGCTGCTTTTAGTACCGCTGATGACGGTGGGTGTCTAATAGAGTGAATCCTACGGAGAGGGACCGAGGATCATCTGAGAGTGGGACGCCGCAGAGAAATATGAGAGAGGAACAAAAAAAAAAAACACCCTGATTTTTCTAATACAGATAAGAATAAAAGCATGTTCTGCTTATTCACCCTTCGAGCGCAAACGTTTCATGGCAGCTGATCGAGAAATGAAAAGAGAAATTGGATAAGCTGGCAGCTACTGATGATTATCATGTCAACAGGTTCTTGTGTTTTATATTGCATGGATTTGTTGTTCAGGCACGCAGCAGACAGAGTTCAGCTTAAACGGCAGCGATGACGAGTTTCAGGCTGTGGCCCAAAGGAGTTGGAAGGTCCGTGTTGAGTCCAGTGGATTTTCTGTGGCCACCTCAGAAATCAACCAAAGTCTGTTTATTTGCTCTGTCCGCCGCACCCCCCACCTTTCCTTCACTTTGGTCCGTGGTTCAGTTCTCAAGTCTTTTCTCTTTGTCCTCAGTCCTAACGTCTCCCCTCCTCCCTCCTTTTCCTCAGACTTCAGGTGGAGGCGAGTCGGGCTCGGGGCTGCCATCCATACTCACCACTGCAAAGAAGGGAAAAAGAGACGTTTTAACTTCATTGTTTCTCACGACTAGGCAAACCAGAAGGATGTCTTCGTGGACAAACTGTACGAAGGTGGTCTATCATTGAGCTGTGACTGTTGTGAGAATAGTGACCAGTGGGCCTCGTTTTGTGTGCACGACTTGTAAAACTGCATCCTTTCTGCACAATCATTTGTTGCTCCCTTCAGCTAGTTTTGTGCCCATCTCAGCAGCGGCCCCTACATTTTTAATTTACTCTGAAGGAATACTTTTGAAATGAAGATGGGTAGATTTGGACCAGTTCTTCAGTAATTATTTTTCATCACTGGCACGGTTTTAGACCTGGACATTTTCTTCGAATGTTTTCTCTACACTGATGCTGATTGATGGCGACCAAAGTCCAGCTCTTGGATCTTTTCTTTCCTGTGTCGACAGTCACCATGCAGACGACACGCAGCAGAAACATGCTGACGTCTCACCACACCGATGTTCTGTCTCGCTGCATGGTTAAGCCATTATAAATCATCATGAAGCACAATTCCTGGCAAGTAACCTCCAGTTAGAAAGACTACCAACAGTTTGCACAGACGTCAGACGTCTCTGTTCACCATTTTGGATCACATACTGTGATTAATGTATAACCTCAATTCCAAAAACCTTTGGGTGCTAAGTAAGATGTTAGTTCGGTTCCGTTTGGTTCTGCAGGGAAACCTAGGAATTTCTCTGTCTTCCGGACCCGGTTCTGGACTGCGGTCTGTGAGGGCAGCTTCTGCGGTCGTTATTACCATCAAGCTGCTAGCAGGACCTGCTAAGCTGTTAACAAGACCATGCTGCTAACAGAAGCATGATGTTGAAAGAACCTCACTGCTGACCGAATCACACTGTAGATGTATTTATTTTTCAACTTTGGCACCTTGTTTTTAGTATTTTAGTAGTATTTTCAGTATTTTTTTTTAGTATATTAGTAGTATTTTAATATGTTTTTAGTATTTTAGTATATTTTAAGTATTTTTAGTATTTTTTTTAGTATTTTTGTTGCATGCTTTGGTATTTTTATATATTTATTTATTTATTTTTGGGGGGTGAGTTCAGACAGTTCTTCTCGTCCTAAGCATTTCATTGCGTTGTTGACCTTGTGTTGATTTTGCATATGACAAATAAACCAAACCTGAACCTGCAGTTGAAAAGAACTGAAATGTGTTGCTGCTAATAAATTCAAAATTAGCTTATTGTTAAAAAAAAAATTGCTTCAATGTTTGATATGTTTACTACGTTTCATTCTGAATAAAATATGGGTTCATGAGATTGGAAAATCATTGTATTCTGTTTTTGTTTACATTTTAACCTCGCAAAAAAACTTTTTGGGAACTGTGCTTGTACTAATTGCCCATCATTTTATTTATTTATTTTACAAATCATTGCCTCTACTGAATGTGACAACATGGCACTTTATAAATGTGTTACATGTCATTACTGTGCATTTTAGAGTATTTTAGTTAAATAAATGACAGGCTTAAGAGTTACAATATGACTTATTCTTTGTGGAGGGATTTCCCCTTTAATTCCTGCCAGGCAGGATTATTTACACTAAATAGGTACTCTTCCTTTTTTACTGAAACAAGTCATAAGTCACTTCTGTGGTTTTACTGAAGCTGTGTTAGTAATTTGTCACATGACGCAGCAACATTGTATAAAGTTACATGTGACTGAATGACCGAGGGCAGACCTGTTGAGCTCCTGATTGTGCATCATTCTCTTGTTCAAACCTCTAAGTGTTTAGAGGATCTTAACTGTAGTCTGGCAGAGTTTGATTGTAGCGCTGAAATAAACACTCCTCTGCCACTGGGGCGGGGTTCAGTGAGTTTTATCATCGTTTCTCTGCAGCTTTCACCTCAAGACCCGGTTGATTTTTCTCCTGGACCTGATGAAAGCCAGTCAGCATAATTTCTATTCTGGTCAGCGTGTCTGTTGATGTTGATTTTTTAGTCAGTTTTTTAACGTTTCAATGCAAAATTGCTGATCTAAATCCAGATTTATTTATTTTTTGCTTTAACGTTGATGATCTTTCACAGCTTTTGACCTGCATTTTGTGGAGGAGGTCAAACAAAGGACAGGGACGTGCAGTTGGACTGTATGAATGAGGGCTTCCAGCCTTGTTTAAATTTTAAAAACCATCTATATGCATGATTGTGTGTGTGTGTGG